GTTATACTGACTTTGTCAGGTGTGATATAAACACAGCTATATAGTTATACTGACTTGGCCTAAGTGTGATATAAACACAGCTATATAATTATACTGACTTTGTCTGGTGTGATATAAACACAGCTATATAGTTATACTGACTTTGTCTGGTGTGATATAAACACAGCTATATAGTTATACTGACTTGGCCTAAGTGTGATATTAACACAGCTATATAGTTATACTGACTTGGCCTAAGTGTGATATAAACACAGCTATATAATTATACTGACTTTGTCTGGTGTGATATAAACACAGCTATATAGTTATACTGACTTGGCCTAAGTGTGATATTAACACAGCTATATAGTTATACTGACTTGGCCTAAGTGTGATATAAACACAGCTATATAGTTATACTGACTTTGTCTGGTGTGATATAAACACAGCTATATAGTTATACTGACTTTGTCTGGTGTGATATAAACACAGCTATATAGTTATACTGACTTTGTCTGGTGTGATATAAACACAGCTATATAGTTATACTGACTTTGTCTGGTGTGATATAAACACAGCTATATAGTTATACTGACTTTGTCTGGTGTGATATAAACACAGCTATATAGTTATACTGACTTTGTCTGGTGTGATATAAACACAGCTATATAGTTATACTGACTTTGTCAGGTGTGATATAAACACAGCTATATAGTTATACTGACTTGGCCTAAGTGTGATATTAACACAGCTATATAGTTATACTGACTTGGCCTAAGTGTGATATAAACACAGCTATATAATTATATTGACTTGGCCTAAGTGTGATATAAACACAGCTTTATAATTATATTGGCTTGGCCCAAGTGTGATATAAACACAGCTATATGATTATATTGACTTGGCCTAAGTGTGATATAAACACAGCTATATAATTATATTGACTTTGTCTGGTGTGATATAAACACAACTATATAATTATATTGACTTTGTATGGTGTGATATAAACACAACTATATAGTTATATTGGCTTGGCCTAAGTGTGATATAAACACAACTATATAATTATATTGACTTTGTCTGGTGTGATATAAACACAACTATATAGTTATATTGACTTGGCCTAGTGTGGTATAAACACTACTATATAATTATATTGACTTGGCCTAAGTGTGATATAAACACAGCTAGATAATTATATTGACTTTGTCTAGTGTGATATAAACACAGCTATATAATTATATTGACTTGGCCTAAGTGTGATATAAACACAGCTATATAATTATATTGACTTGGCCTAAGTGTGATATAAACACAGCTATATAATTATATTGACTTTGTCTAGTGTGATATAAACACAGCTATATAATTATATTGACTTGGCCTAAGTGTGATATAAACACAGCTATATAATTATATTGACTTGGCCTAAGTGTGATATAAACACAGCTATATAATTATATTGACTTGGCCTAAGTGTGATATAAACACAACTATATAATTATATTGACTTGGCCTAAGTGTGATATAAACACAGCTATATAATTATATTGACTTGGCCTAAGTGTGATATAAACACAGCTATATAATTATATTGACTTTGTCTAGTGTGATATAAACACAGCTACGATATAAACACAGCTATATAATTATGTTGACTTGGCCTAAGTGTGATATTAACACAGCTATATAATTATGTTGACTTGGCCTAAGTGTGATATTAACACAGCTATATAATTATATTGACTTGGCCTAAGTGTGATATAAACACAGCTATATAATTATATTGACTTGGCCTAAGTGTGATGTAAACACAGCTATATAATTATATTGACTTGGCCTAAGTGTGATATAAACACAGCTATGTAATTATATTGACTTGGCCTAAGTGTGATATAAACACATCTATTTTATGATTAATGCACCATTATTGCTTCGATATGAGAATTTATGGAGTACAAAATGAAATATGGATTGAGGCTGGAATAGTGCAGTAATTATTTTATTACATTTCATTTGGTTTTTTCTAACCATCCATCTCATATTTAACAAGCTTCTTCGTTGACATCTTGCCGGCTTTCTGCCTCCATGTTTACAATCAAAAACCACGGGCACTGAAGAAATAATTTTTTTTGATTGGTTAATAAAGATGCATGATTTGAAATAGAAATCCCCTTTTATTAAAAATAGAACAAAGTGGTGCAAATTGATAAATTGATGTGTCCGTTTTACAGTGCAATATCAATAAAAGTCATAGAACACATGACTGTCTCGACAAATAGAAATGCAGAATTATAACAAAACCAAAATAAATAGTAATATTGACTTGGCCTAAGTGTGATTTAAACACAGCTATATAATTATATTGACTTGGCCTAAGTGTGATTTAAACACAGCTATATAATTATATTGACTTGGCCTAAGTGTGATATAAACACAGCTATATAATTATATTGACTTGGCCTTAGTGTGGTATGAACACAAGGCAGAGTTAGCTTTGCCTAATGACTATAATGTATGTCAGTCACAATTTAGTAAAGGGTAATGTGCTAAAGGGTATGTCCTTAATTACATTAGTACTAGAGCTACCTGAATGTGTAGTACCTGATTACCTGAGTAATTGGAATGGGTGTGATGCTGTGACAGCTGTGTTTAAATGAACCTGATAGCTCCATGAATGTTAGACATTACTGAGGTGGTTACAATCATTCAAGTCCTCCACACCATAGTGCGTTATTGTACAATCATAATAGTTTGTTGGCTAAATTTTCAGGGTTTTACAAAAATATGCATTTTTGTTGGCACTTGATTTCTTGGATCATTGTTATGAAATGAAATAAAATCTGTGTTAATTTTCATCAAATCATTGACACATATACAGATGGATTAATATAAATGTGACACATACACATGTGGATTAATATAAACGTGACACATACACAGGTGGATTGATATAAACGTGACACATACACAGGTGGATAAATATAAACGTGTCACATACGCATGAGATTGATATAAAGGTGACACATACACAGGTGGATTAATATAAACGTGTCACATACACATGAGATTGATATAAAGGTGACACATACGCAGGTGGATTAATATAAACGTTACACATAGGTGGATTAATATAAACGTGATACATACACAGGTGGATTAATATAAACGTGACACATACATAGGTGGATTAATATAAACGTGACACATACACAGGTGGATTAATATAAACGTGACACATACACAGGTGGATTGATATAAACGTTACACATAGGTGGATTAATATAAACGTGATACATACACAGGTGGATTAATATAAACGTGACACATACATAGGTGGATTAATATAAACGTGACACATACACAGGTGGATTAATATAAACGTGACACATACACAGGTGGATTGATATAAACGTTACACATAGGTGGATTAATATAAACGTGACACATACACAGGTGGATTGATATAAACGTTACACATAGGTGGATTAATATAAACGTGATACATACACAGGTGGATTAATATAAACGTGACACATACATAGGTGGATAAATATAAACGTGACACATACACAGGTGGATTAATATAAACGTGACACATACACAGGTGGATTGATATAAACGTTACACATAGGTGGATTAATATAAACGTGATACATACACAGGTGGATTAATATAAACGTGACACATACACGGGTGGATTAATATAAACGTGACACATACACAGGTGGATTAATATAAACGTGACACATACACAGGTGGATTGATATAAACGTGACACATACACAGGTGGATTGATATAAACGTGACACATACACAGGTGGATTAATATAAACGTGACACATACACAGGTGGATTGATATAAACGTGACACATACACAGGTGGATTAATATAAACGTGACACATACACAGGTGGATTGATATAAACGTGACACATACACAGGTGGATTGATATAAACGTGACACATACACAGGTGGATTAATATAAACGCTCACAATATCAACAAAAATAAAATCTCCACAAAAATTTCTGATTTTGCAGTTCATGTACTCGAGTACAGTCAGGTTGAAATTCTGTTGTTAATTATACTATTTGTAAAACTCCTGTGTAGTTATAGAATTAAAAAGGATTTCCTGAGGATGAAAGAAAACTTTTTATTCATCAGTTATATTATTTTTGTAAACATTTTTTCCATTAAGACTGACATTAGGCCTGACTACATGTTTTATCTAATTAATTGTCTAGCTTTAATCTGGCTGTTTCTGCTGCCATTAATCTGTAGCTATGACTCTAATAGAGGCATTACTTAGTGTATCATATTGATTTTGTTTGTGTAATCATTTCAGTGTCTGGACTTATACAAACTTTCCATGATTTGATGATCATGGGGGAAAATCACAGATATTAGCTGTCAGGAAATATCTCATAAAAGATATGTTGATATGTTGGAAAGGTTGTCAGAGTTGTTCCAAGTCTGGCAGGCATACTTCATACATTATATAAGTAAACCTAACCTATAAGAGATACTTCAATGAAAGGGAATTCCTGTCTAAATTTAAATGTAAATTTTTCATTTTATACAATACCTCTCCTTGATGTTTATACTTAGCTTGCAGAACTGACCAGAATATTTTATACACTTTATTTTAAGGAAATTAATTACCTCTCCCTGAAGTTTTTACTTAGTCTACAGAACTGACCAGAATGCTGATGTCTGCTTGCCGTGAAATTATTCTTCTTAAATGTAACAGTTTCTATTTGGAGTGTTCACATGACATGAACGCAATATTACTTTCTAGCCATTGAATTAGAACATAATATCTGTAATGCAATAGACTCTATTAATGTTACTAATTTGTTGAGCTGTCAGTGCCACCTGAAAGTTAGACTTAGTAATACTAAAAAGCATCAGGTATTAAGTTTTTGATGGATGGATAATTTACACACACTGGTTATTGGAAATATTCTATAAATTGATGATGATGTTTTGATTTATCTTGTGCCTTTCAATTGTTGTAGGGTAAGCAAAAACAACAGAAGCGCACACAGACATTCTTCCAGTTCTGTAATGCCAAAGAGTCCATCTTATTATGTACGGATGTGGCTGCCCGTGGTCTAGACATTCCACGGGTGGATTGGATTGTGCAGTACGATCCTCCAGATGATCCAAAGGTAAGTTTACAAGTATGAACTATTTTTCCTGAACAAGTAAAGAAAACACCTGTGACATGATTTTTATTTCTTGGACAGATGAGTAAAATGTACGTGACAGCGATTGTGATTTAATGAATAGGTAAGTAAAACATATGTGACAGCGATTGTGATTTCCTGGACAGTGAACTTGATAAGTTGTAACGGCCAGAGATTAGTGGAAGACATGTTGTATTTCTGCTTGTTCTTGGACAAGTAATTAAAACACATGTGACATAATTTTGATTTTCTGAATAGGTAAGTAAAACGCATGTGACATAATTTTGATTTTCTGAATAGGTAAGTAAAACGCATGTGACATAATTTTGATTTTCTGAATAGGTAAGTAAAACGTATGTGACAACAATTGTGGTTTGGTGGACAGTGAATTTGATAAGTTGTAATGTCCCGGGATGAGTGAAAAACATTTGTGTTTTATTTTTAATTCAAAAGCTGTTTTTAACACTTTACAAAGCTAGGTTTAAAATTAACAGGGTTGATATTATCTTACATTTCATTCTTGATAGAATTTTAAAGATTATGCATTGCAGAATTAGAATGCCCTGATTTAGATTGTAAAATTTGTTATGCATTTAAATTTGAAATTACAGTAGTGCATATGTTGGTTTTTGTCACATCCTTGGTCCACTTTGTCAGTGTGATATTGTTTCCAATAACTTGTCTTTATTGAGGACATTGAAACTCCAACCTCGATGCATTGCAGGTCCTCTGTATTCATTGATGTCCCTAGTGATATTCAATTTAGGTGATTTGTAGACAGCATTACAGCTGTTTTATAACATAATGTTCAGTTCCTTTCTTACTTGTTTCTGCAGTGGAAGAAATATTGTGAATGTGGTTCTAATGATATATGAAGTTGTAACCAAAACTGACAAGGTTATGCTATTAAAAACGTTCATTGTACAAGCAAGAAGAGACTTACTGATGGTGTGGAACTGGGTAATTGCAGAGCATAGAAGAACATTATCTCTTCAAATATAACTACTATCAAACTTGTATTAAAGGTGATCTCTATATAACACAAAATACATTTCTGAAAGGTCAGAAAATTTATTTTAATTCCTATTGCAATAACATTGTCCTGTCTAAATAAAGGCAGCTTTACTCTGCTCACATGATAGGCGTAAGGTTTGACTACCTTTATCCTATCTAAAAATACGACAAGTCAGTTGTTGTTTGTGTTACAGCTTGTTCAAGGATATCATTAAACATGTACGCCATTTGTAAGGTCTTCTTTCAATAACTGTTATAAGCAAGTAATTCTTGTTGTTCTTCAATTATAAAACAAAATATAATATCATTCTATGAAACACAAATTACATTCTTTTTCAGGAGCATAATATTCTTCTGTAAACACAACATAATATTCTTCTGTAACACAACCTAATATTCTTCTGTAAACACAACATGATATTCTTCTGTAAACACAACATGATATTCTTCTGTAAACACAACATAATATTCTTCTGTAAACACAACATAATATTCTTCTGTAAACACAACATAATATTCTTCTGTAAACACAACATAATATTCTTCTGTAAACACAACATAATATTCTTCTGTAAACAAAACATAATATTCTTCTGTAAACAAAACATAATATTCTTCTGTGAATACAATAAAATATTCTTCTGTGAAGCACAACAAATAGCACAATTCTCTTATGCCCAAATATTACTGTATTCTTCATTAACATACAAAATTCCATTCTTCTGTTAAACTCCAAATTACATTATCATTTTCCAGTAAAGCCAAAAGATCTCTAGGATACTCGAAAAGGTTTTCTTTGTAAAATTGTAGCAATGGTCCCAGAGGAAGTGTCTTTTTGTACAATAAGTAAATCAGGGGCCTCGGGGAGCATGTGAGGTCAAATGATAGTGTCTGTCTTACAGAATTCAATCAACCAATGTTCTGATTAATACAGCTGTGAGGTAGCCAAGATATTTTAGACAAACTAAGGAAGTATGGTTATAAATATAGCACTTGTAGGAAAATAAGATAAAATGGAGCATATTTTATCACAGGTAGAGCTAGAACCGAATTATTTTCATAAAGATTGACGTAAAAGGGTATTTTATAATTTAGTTGAATTACAAAAATTGCTGAAATGGTTTTAGAAATGAGAAAGAAATGTGATAAGGTTTTTTTACTGATAGGGCATAACTAAGATAAAAATTGCCTTGAAAACAAAAAGAGATGAGATAAATATTGTCCTTGAAAACAAGAAATGGATGGAAAATTCATTATTAAATGTTAGCATTGATCTGAACACTTAGGCTGTCAACAGATGACCTAATAATACCCAACAGAAAGATGATACGAAAGCAAGTAATAAACATCACCAATTTATAATCAGCACACTATCAGGCAGCGTGATATGATATTTAGGGAACACAGGCAGTGTGAGAATCACCATTATACAGAGTACAGATTTGTGTGGAGAGATGAAAACGATGTATAACATTAATATTAGTGATAAAAGGTTTCATGTACACAGAAGCAATTAGTGCCATGTTCCTCTAATAATGCTAATAAGATGGAAAATAATGCAGATTTTCCACAACAAATGAAAACAAGTTTGAAACCTTGCGATGCACCAACAACAACTTCAGATATTCTATAGGTGCCAATAAATGGCAATGTGTTTGGGGAGCAATATCACAATCAAAGTGAATTTCCCTTTGAGATGAAACCATGACCTGCAGTTCTCTGTTAACTAGGAGGAAAAGAATTTTAGATTCTTAATTCTGCAGCTTTGGTCCTCTGAGTGAAGTGTATTGGCATTGTGGGACTGTAATTGGTTTGCCCGGAGTTGACTCCCCTTGCTGTTTTAGTTCAGTACGGAGATGTAACAGAAATGATCTTCCTGTATAAAGTTGTTTGTATTTCAAGGTAGATAACTCTCAATCTCTGTCTTATATCATTTAGAATATCTGGTAAACCAAACTCAACAGCATTCATCTCTTACTCCATACTAACACAGTGGGTGTATCATCATGTGTTACTTCAGTGTCAGATCATGATACACAAATTATGTACCATATCTCAGTTAGACCATCAATGGAAGTTAATATACATGGAACTGGAATGTAAAACTCAACAGAAACTTACTACTGATATTGTCAGTATTGGGTTAGCCTTTCAGTGTTATGGTTCTTACAGGTGTTAGGAGGAACCATTGCTTCAAAAACATTTACTGAACCATTATTAAGTTGTCAACAAGTCTTTATAAAAGCAAGCTCAATAAAACTCTGAATGATATAAATGTAATACAATAAGTTGTTGATGTGAGTGAATCTCCTGCAAGGAAATACCACATGTACTTTATCCTTCTATTTTGGGGTAAATGAATTAACTTAGGGAAGTGTTTTCTCTTTATCATTAATGGGCCTGAGGTTAATGTTGTAAAGGTGTGCCCATCAGGTTTTCAGGCAGCCATCAGTGAAGACATGTCCATTACAAGTTGCTTTAGATTGGTTGATGCACACTTAATGCAGCTTCTGAAACCATTCCACCTGAGACAGAGTGAGAAAGCGAGGCAGCTGTCATGTACGGTTGATTTTAGGACCAGTGATGGACTATATTTGATCTAATTACATAGGCATCGCTGCACTATTCTGCTTTAGCGATCACCGTTCTGAAGTCCATTACTCCTCAATTAGCTTCTTACTGTTACAGAATGTATTAATTGGATAAAATATTTGTTTAGCCTGACACACTGTTTTATAATGATGATTATGTAATAGTCCACTGACATGTGTCACGTGAACACCGATGTTCTATAAAACCACAATAGCATAACATGGAATGTTGAAATCTGTACAATTGTACAATGTTGTTATGCTTAACCACAAAAACAGAACCAGGATGGAAGGTGGATATCTGCCATTGTACAACATTGCTATACAAATAACAATGACAGAACCAGGAAGGTGGGTACCTGTACACTTGTACAACATTGTTATACAAATCACAATAACTGACCCAGGAATGTGGGTACCTGTACACTTGTACAGCATTGTTATACAAATCACAATAACTGACCCAGGAATGTGGGTACCTGTATACTTGTACAACATTGTTATACAAATCACAATAACTGACCCAGGAATGTGGGTACCTGTACACTTGTACAGCATTGTTATACAAATCACAATAACTGACCCAGGAATGTGGGTACCTGTACACTTGTACAGCATTGTTATACAAATCACAATAACTGACCCAGGAATGTGGGTACCTGTATACTTGTACAGCATTTTTATACAAATCACAATGACAGAACCAGGAAGAAGGGTACCTGTACACTTGTACAACATTGTTATACAAATCACAATGACAGAACCAGGAAGGTGGGTACCTGTACACTTGTACAGCATTGTTATACAAATCACAATGACAGAACCAGGAAGGTTGGTACCTGTACACTTGTACAACATTGTTATACAAATCACAATGACAGAACCAGGAAGAAGGGTACCTGTACACTTGTACAACATTGTTATACAAATCACAATGACAGAACCAGGAAGGTGGGTACCTGTACACTTGTACAACATTGTTATACAAATCACAATGACAGAACCAGGAAGGTGGGTACCTGTACACTTGTACAACATTGTTATACAAATCACAATGACAGAACCGAAAAGGTGAGTACCTGTGCAGTAATTGTATAAGGAGTATGTGATAGTGATATACTGAAGGATGTGAATGATAAATGAAAGAAGTCAATGTTGATCCAGTCTTCGAACAATCCTGAAATAGTGTGCTTCTTGAAATATATGGTATGTGGGATAACCATCTAAAATTGTTACAAAATGGCAGGGAAAGAAGTTCTCACAACCAATTTTAAGTTAGGTTAAAGATAGATGGATCACTTAATATTTTAGTGACTTATTTTACCAGAAATCACTCCTCATTGCAGAGATACAACATAAAACTGCCTCATATTATAA